TGGTCTTTTGTTTTCTTTTCTATTGTCTCTTTTGAATAGTGTGTAGATGTTGTTTATCTCTGTGTGTCTATTGATGGCTGATGTGTCGAGTGCCAAACTTCCAGGAATTCCCTAGGATTTTTGGATTTGGTTTGGTCTAGGATGCTCAGTTTCCCAGTTGAAACTATGGTTGAGTCTGTCCACATGTTGTGAGATTAAGGAGTTTTCATCGTGTCTTCTGACTGATAGTTGGTATTCATGGATGTGCTCTGCTAGTCTTCTGCCTGCCTGTCCTACATAGTGGCCATTACAATCCTTACACTGTATCTTGTAGATGACTCCTGTTTTTTCTTTTTGGGCTACTGGGTCTTTCGGTTAGCTTAAGATGTCTTGGAGGGCTTTAGTTGGTTTCTGTGCTATGGAGATGCCATGTGGTTGTACATGGTTGTACATGTAGTGAGCTAACATGTCACTAATCCTCTTCCTCCTTTTTCTCTCTCTGTCCTTTCAGATAGGTTGGACTGTGAGAGAGTGACTGGCCTCAAAACTCAGTGGTCTTCCATAGCTGACAGAGAACTCCAACCTGGGTTTTTTTTAAATTTCATAAATATCTTATTTAGGTTACCCTCACTTTCTGAATATAATTTATTTTTCTCTTGCTGGCTTTCTGTCTCATACAGAAACTCTTTCCTTCTTTCTTCTTTCTTTCACCTTTTTGGTTAACATTTTCCTTGGTATTTTAATACTCAATATTTGGGTTATACTATTCTCATCATCCAGGATTTGGATCATGCATTAAAACACTTAAAAATTAAAGAGTGGTCAACAGTGAAATGGATTGTTGAGATTTTAATATGTAAGGGGTAGGTTTAGAATGGTAGCTGTATGGAAATCATTAAGCAGCTTAACCTCACTCTAGGTGTAACAAGGACTAAAGAAAACAGTAGCATCCATATTTGCTATCCCACTTCTTTTGGCCAGTCATATAGATTGGGTCTAGGGAAAGAACAAGAGAAAGCAGCAGAAGGAGATGGCCAAAATCAGCAGCAAAGATCAGTGAAAGGGTGGTGATTTTCCTATCCATTCCCATGCTGAAATAAACATCTGAAGCTGACACTTCAGTGTCTGGAATGAGCAGGGAACTAAAATGCTAATAGTCAATAGTGAATGTCAATGAACCTGTGTCTGCTGACAAATACAGTAAGCATGAATTGTCAGAAATGCTGTTCTGAGCCTTGGCCAGAACATTTGGCGAAGGGTTAAGTCTTGCCAATCACATCCTACATGGTTGGCTTGCTGATAAATACTTGTTGATTGAGATAAAGGAGTTCTTAACCATCCATTGCAAGGACAACTGTTGTGAAACCACTCAGAACTACATATTCTTATAAATAGAAGATAATCTCCAGCTAGATAGGGCTTTTTTTCACTAATCTATTGCATCATTCTCATTCTCCCTAGACCCGAGATGCCAACCATTCTGGAAACAGCATGGCTGCGCAGCGAAATTCCAAGATGGCACGCAACTTCGCCCATGCAGCACTTGGTGTTGGCATTTTCCTCATTATTGTATATATCGTCTTAATGGTGATCCTGCTTAATCAAAATAACAGATCCTGAAAGATTATGTCTTCTCTTTCCTGATATACAAAACAGAGGTCAAAGGCTTGGGATCATCTGCACTGAGTCATTCCATCAAAAGATACAGCAGCTTGTTTACACGTGCATGGAAAACACAGGATTTCCTTGTTCTTCATTCCCATCACCAGCTATAGAATGAGGTTTTGAGGTTCCACCAGCTAGATTTGTACATGGATTTGTGATGAGTTTTTGATGTCCACCAATTAACATCGAATATGCTCCATCTCTGCAATGCACCTACTGAAGCAACGGAAAGGGGGTGTCGGGTGGCAAGGATCAAATGGGATACAACATGTCTATAAATTGCCCTGGTGTCATCAGGGTTGAACTATCAATCTTCCTGAAATCAGACAATGGGTTTAGATCACCTCCTTTCAATGGTTCCTCTTCCCATCAGCCACCATCCTTCACATTTCCTTTTCCTCTAGGCTAGTTAGTACAATTCAGTAATGAAGGCCACAGGTTATTTAGTTGTAGTTGTTCAGTCATTCAGTTGCTTCTGAAACTTCATAACCTCAATGGACATTCTTTTGCCAGAGTTGTCTGCAAGGAACCATCTTTCTGAGCCCTTGTAAGCACCTGCTCATGTCATCAGAGGTGGTATCTACCTACCTTAGATACAATGTTTTCCATTACCCTGTTTTGTTTTGTTTTTTATAGCCTTTGATTTTTCCAAGTACCAGGGCCTTCCCCAGTGATTCTTGCCTTTGCATTGTATGTCCAAATTATCTAAGCTTTAACTTCGGGGTCATGCTTCCCAAAACCCACCATTTTGTTTTGGTTTTTTTCCTTCCTCTACTGTGGGTCACTGAGAGCACCCCAATTCTGATGCCACAAATTGCTGATCAAGCCCCATCCCACACAGTTATATAGTACACAGCTGCTTTGCTCTGCTCACTGACTCTGTGAAAAACCCCTCCTGTCTGTTTTCAAAATCCAGAAAGTATTTGAATCTCCCCTTTCAGAGTCCTGTATGCAACAGAAATAAATCTGACAGTGGTAATTGTCAAGTATGTTTTGTGTTTTCTTGAAACAGTCTTTGCTTTTCTCTTTGGAACACAACCGTGGGATTAACATCTGATGGCTGAAATAAATATTGCATGATGAAAATAAAGAAATGGCTCACCTAAGCCTTCCCTCCCTTTTTTATTTTTATTATTTCAGAAGAAATTAAAGGATAACGCTGTCCAACAATTTAGATGGAGATTGACTGAAGAAGGCTATTCCATACTGCTTAATTTACAATTCTTTCCTACTACCTGTTTTGATTGTACAGCCATTAATTCCACCACCACCCAACCTGGCCATACATCAGCAGGAATTTGTTCTGGCTAGCAACCATCCATCTGGGGGTCTGCTGGAGGGGAAATACCCATCTTTGCTCCAGCCAAGATTCTCAATGGAATTAATGTTAATCTCAACACCTTAATCGGTGTGTATATTCTGTTAGCTCTTGCTATTCCTGTGGAAAGGACTGTGGGTCCTCCCTCCACTACTCTCAGTGGGGGATGTGGGAATAACTTTGCAATTTGCAGTTTGCTTTGGGAGAGATCCTTTGGTATGGTGTTTTTCAAACTTGGCTATTTTAAGGTGTGTGGACTTCAACTCCCAGAATTCCCCAGCCAGCATGCCCCTCCTATGGTATTTTCTGGCTGAATTCAATGATCTAATCTAATCAACTTTTATTTACAGCCTCAGACCAAAAAAAACTCTAAAATAATACACTATTTAAAAATGAAGCAAATTATAGCATTGCAGCAGTAAAACATAGCTGCCCTAAGTAGAATGCAACTTAACTAATTGCTTGCACGTTTTGCACACTCATAATGCAAATTTAGCCACCTTACATATTATTGAAGGGTCCTTGAACTTAAAATTCATCAGTATGCCCAAGGAACATCTTAACTAATGTAACAGAATTGTCCTAGAACAGTAAAGCAAATATTACATAGCGCTGGCCATCATTTCATGGAGAATTTTATTATGGCAATTCCCCTGCCCTGCCCT